TCTCTCTTTTCCTCCGTACCCTAATCTCTAAAAACGGGGGAACAACGGAGCTGATCCAGATTTGCGTCCGATATGACGTGATATCTGAAATGTGGACCCACGGCCCAATCAGAAACGTTGCTATCAGAAACAATGCCCGACTGTTTTGGACGTAATATGGTCGGTGTTTACATTAGCATCGCTAACACTCAGAGCTAACCTGTACTGGAGAGCATGTGTGTGAAGAAGCAGGAAGTAAAAAGGAACTCACCTTGTGGTATAACCGGCAAGAGAGAAAGCCTTTGAGCTCCATACTGTTTCAGAAACAATCCTTGATAATCCATGATATGGCGTTTCATCACGGCAGTATTTAGTTTAGACAGTAGCTGCCGGGTCCCGCATGAGCTCAGACCCCTCCTTTTTTATTTTGTATCAATTATTTTAATTTGTTAAAGCTTTATACCCCAAATCAGCACTTCAGAAACAGGAAGTGAAATAGAGGGATATGAGGCATGGCTAGAATGGGAGATCTTTTTGGTATTTTGAGCAAAACACTTCATAGACATGTTTTTTATATCTTTTTATATATCTGAGACCTATGCTATTGCCTAAAAATAGCATGATAGGTGACCTTTAACTAATGTATTTATTATTTTTATTGAGTCATGTATCAATAATTAATAAATTATTTTTTGAGCCATGAATAATTGTAGCTCTTTTACGTTCAAAGTAGGACGAAATAAGAACTACATAAGGATGATTGCAAAAGAAGAAACATTTATGAATGGATTATTATTTAACTAAACCATGATTTGGGGTATGATGCAAATTATAGCCTCATTAATTATTAATAATTAATGAGGCTATTATAACATGCCAGCAGGTCAGTTTGTTGATGTCCTTAACAAAAGGTTACTCATTTATATTTATACATCTGCAGTGCATATGCATACATTTGTAGAAAATAAACTAAATTGTATTTGATCTAATTTTTACAAGGATCTTCATTATGATTTAGACAAAGCTTTATTATTATTATATAAATAAGATTATTATGAATGAACTGTTTCTTGCTCTTTAACGTGTTAGTTACATAACCAATTAAATACATCTACCTTTCACTTAACACCGTGTCAGAATAAGCATTTAAAGCCTTTCAAATTATTTATAAGCCTCATGCATAGTTACTTGATAAAGAATTGACAGAAGACACAAAAGTAAAATATATTTTTGATGTAAAATATTCAAAAAGCTCTTTATTGTTCTCATACTGCCTGTGCTGCAGCACCTCTTTTCACCCTCTGTCTGAAACCAGAGCCCAGTCTGCTCTGATTGGTTAGCTGGCCGGCTCTGTTGTGATTGGTCAACCGCTTAGAGATGTCCCGCCCCTTAGCCTATCACGTACAATGTGTCAGAGCGCTAGCCAACAGGAATGTCACTACGTTTCCACATAAATGTTTTATTCATGTTCTCACATTTTCTCTCCTCACAGATGCCAGTGTTTTCGATCAGTGGGAAGACGGGATAGAGTTAAGAAAGGTAAGGGAATATCTTCGTCCAAAAATGTAATTTCCGTAACATTAATACTTTTTGACAAGTTAGTGCATGTTTTTTTTTCTTTTTCTAATCAGCCTTCTTTGGTTCTAGATAATAAAACGTTAATTTCAGGGTTGTGAGTTAAAAAAAGGAGGTTGTTTAATTAACTAATCACTTGAATTATCAATCATTAATAAGATCCAGTTCAATACAATACACACATAGACAGTGAGATACATAGAGACTATCTATTGAATGCTCAATATAAATATACAGCATTCAAGTCAGTGTACAGATAGCCACAAATAACCAAATTTAAACATCTTATACTATGTAAATTAAAAGTGAGTAATAACAGTTTATTCTGAAATGCACAAGTTAAAAACAGAGTGGAATCTGGTTAAGAAAAGAGCAACCGAAGAAACCATGGAGCTTTAGTTTGTCTACTTGTCAGATGTTATCAGAAATATTTCACTGCTATCATCTAAGATCTGTTTTAATGATAATACTCTGGACCAAAAATAAGTCCATAAATCAAACATCTGCTTATAAATCCAGATCCAATCCTCAGATTTCTTTTATTTTTAGAATCTGCACTCAGAAGTGAGACTGAAATAATGTGTTGTTGTAATGAATTCATATTGAAGTTGATGTTTCTCTGCAGGTGCGAGACATCCAGAGCGATGACTTGAGTGATGTTTTATGGGGAGATCAGGATGAGGTAAAAATATGCAGTATTTTGTAATATTTCTCAGATATACAACATTATAGTCAAATGAACTGTGACACATTGATATAATCACTGGGAACATGAGACCATAGTGCGTGGATGGATGTGATTGGTGACCTCTGACCTTCGGCAGTTTAGTGCTGTCAACATTCAACTAACACATTTCCCAAAAGCTCTGTTGCTAACAGTTTACCGTTTCTTTTCACAACAATATAAGTTTTTTTGATTCTGCTAATCAAGAGCTGAGAGCAGTAGGAATAGGCTAACTTTTCCCTAAATAATTCAAAACATCACAATTGAGCTTTTTCATAGTGGTTGGGTTTTCTTACTAAATACAGGTTGTCTTTCACAATTTGAAAAGGAGGGTAGCAAGGAAGTGAGAAAGCTGAGAGTTAATGGCGTTCAGTGATTATGCTGCTACCTTAAAATGATGAAATATATCAGTTACTGGTATAATATGGAAATCATTTATTGATTGCTAACTTGCATTTAACTCAGACTTTAAATGGGTTTCGGTTGTTGTACTTTATGCAACTAGCAGAAATATCTAAGCAAACACAAGTCTCAGTTTACCATCTTAAAACAATCTTAATTATCAAACTCATTTCTAAGTATTTAACAGTTTGTAGTGTTAGAAGCATTGGCTATGACACATAGTAAAAATGAACTGGTCTCAAAAGCAGAGTCCATTTTAATCTCTTTTTTAAACCTAATGGACTGATTTGTGATGGACCAATCAACAGCAACACACACTTATGCAACACCACTTTCAATAAACTCTAGAGTTGAACACTTGTGACAAAATGTCCTCTGAAAGTGGCGTCTTATGTTCTTATTATGGAACATTTTTATTGATTTTTACATTGCATTAAAATCTGAATTTACAGGAGTTCGATTGGTGTGTCACTTATTTGTACTTTAAGCAACTAGCAGAAATATCTAAGCTATAAACACCGTGTGCATAATCTGAATTGTTTCTCCACAGGAGCAAGTCCAGAAAGTGTTTAAAAGAGTAAGTGTTCCCTCTCAGTTCTGCTTGTTTCTGATTGGTTACTTATTTCTGATATTTTTCAGCAGCAGCAGCAGCATAAACTGACGTCTCAATGTTCTCCCTTTTTCAGTTCCTGTTTCATTACTCTAAAGCACGCAACTCTATCGGAGCCATGAAGCAACCTGTGCTCTCCAGAGGAGACAGCAAGCAAATGGTAGGAGGATCTTTTTAACCATTATGTCTAAAAATGTCAACATTACTGCTTTCATTTGACCCATTTCCACTTACTTACTAACAAATAAGACATGATGTATTTAAGAGATCTAGTATCTAAAAATGTTTAAAACAAAGATAGAACATTTGAAATGTTAAACCACCTTTCAAAATGACAGTAATTTATGTAAAAGGAGCCAAAAGCTGAATCATCACACACATTTTTTCTCATTATTCAGGAATCCAAACATCTCTTTAGAGCAGGGGTGTCAAACTCAATTTCATCGTGGGCCACATTAGCATTATGGTTGCACTCAAAGGGCCCGTTGTAACTATATTAATATACATATATAAATACATATGAAATAATGTATTATATTATATTATTGCCTCTGCATTGGATTATTATATTATAGGGTAATAACTTCATAAATAACTAAGTCTGAAAGCAGAAGTCTATGGCAAATAATTGCAAGTCTTTTCAGTGTGCATGTCACAAAATGAGATGCATTGTGGGACATATAGTTTATGGGCAACATGCGTCTGTAGATAAAATAAGATAAGATGTACCTTTATTAATCCCTGTGCGGAAATTCAGTAGTTTAACAGCAACAGGGTAAGATTGAAAATATATTATATTCTTTGCAAGCTCTTGTGGGGCCACATAAAATGAAGCCGCGGACCGGATTTGGTTTGACCACCCCTGCTTTAAAGTTTAAATAATAATTTGTAGGCTGAGATTTGTTTTAATTACAGTGTCACTACTGACACCACATCCTTACTTGTTGATTTCTACTTAGATATCGTTTTTATAAAAGAAGCCAAAGCTTTCTGTCATCTGAACGTTCCTCTCTAAATCACCTCTCCTTTTGCTCCTCCAGTCTCACTCAGTTCATCCTCTGATGAGGCTTTTCCCCAAACTCTCCCAGAGGAGGAAGAAGAACATGGTGCTTTTGGTAAGAAACACATACATACATATAGTGTTGAAGGTATACATGAGTTTATATTATTTGATAGGTTAAAGGTAGGGTAGGTAAGAAGAATGGAGAAACCAGCTCGAGTGCGCTAGAATTTGAAAGTACGCAGCTGAACAAAATCTGCCCCTTCCTTCAGACTTCCTCACAGAGCCCCTCCTCCAACACACACGAACGCGCAAATGACCAATGAGGGCACGAGATCAGTTTGTGCACAGATGGAAGGCTGACAGGCAGGTAGGCCATCCAGTTATTTTAGCCGGGCCGGCTCAGATGATTGGTCGTGCTTTTTACAGTACTACGGCTTCCACAGATGACATCTTTTAATGTTGTCAAAGCATTTAATATATTCATTGCTATCGGGATGTTAAGAGCATTCCATGGAATATAACAAAAAGTGTTTCTGAAGAGAATTACCTACCCCATCTTTAACATTTAATTTCTTACTGTTTTTGTTTAAGTACATTAGTTAGTGTAATTAGTTTAGTTAAAGCAGTTGTTTATGCTTTCATTCTGAACGCGGCTTTGGGTGATTGGGTATTTAGCAGACATTGGCAGACAGGTGGAGGTGGGATAGCCAAAGGAAAGGGAAACAGGGCAATTGAAAGTAAAACTGGTTGTCATTGTTCTGTTGGATGTTAGGTTATTGGAAGAACGACGATTTTACCTCGACTTCGGATTGAGTAAATGTCCTCCTGTTATATTTCTTTATGATTTTTGACGGTACATATAGTGTTCTTTAACTCTCAGATGTAGTTAATATGTCAGGGGGCTTTCTGATCACATGCATGTTTGCCTGACCTGGTTTAAAGTTGCAAGAACTTGTCCAGGCAGTAACATCCTGAAACTACAACACTGAATACTTTCATGCATATTTTGTCCAACAGTATTTTTAATGAATATTAAGGCTCGATGCTCTTTGTAATGAGAATGGAAGGTTAGACAAAGGTTTCGTAGAAAGAAAATTATAATTTAAACAGTTTCTTGCCTATTTCTCTTCTGTTTACTAGAAGTCACCCTTTCCAGGAAGCAAAGGAGTAGTTCATCGATTAAGAGAACCAGCGTTAATCTTTTTAAATTACATCACAGTTCAGATTCAATTAACTGACCTTTCTTATTTCTTCCCAATGAAGATTCGAGGTCTGCCGGAGGATATGTTGTAGAAGAATAATCTACGAACAGGAATGCAGCTTAAATATGAATCTACGGACGGAGCGACGTGCTGCATCTGACAGAGAAATTACTTTTTGATAACAGAAAATAAATGATTGTACAGCTGGAAAACATAGAGACTGCTCCACCATGTCGATGATGTGGGGCGCTACCGAACACTAATTGTTGCACAGTTACACAACACAAGGGTACGCAGAATACAAACAAACAATAACAGTCACACAAACAACCCAAAAAATGAGAATTAAGGGAAAAAGATGGCACCGATGATTGTGGCAAAGAGCTGAACTCACATTTAATTCAACAGACTTAAATGTACAGGTACAATTTGTGACATGATTATCATGAAAACGTAATAAAAAAGTTACAATTTGTCTTTGACGTGTTTGTAAATATTCAGGTGATGGAGTCAGATGTTTATTCCAGATTACAAAATGGTTTTCCCACCGAGGAAATGTACAGGAGGCTGTGTGGTTCAACAGAAGGTCATAGGTCATAGGTCCAGCCAAGTGTCCTCCAGCAGGAGTTCAGCATCCACCCACATGGTTTAATATGAAATGTATTTGCTGATAAAGGAGACGCTCCCCCTCTCTGCTGAAGGTCCTCTGAGAGTTTCCCACACGGCGTTTCTGGAGCGATAAACGTTTGTTTCTAATAGTCCTCGTCCTCGGAGTCGCTGTCCTTTCGGGAAGGAAGCGAACTTCTGATCGATGACATCAGCTTGTCTTCGATTTCTTTCCGTGGGTTTTCCTCCAGCTCTGTCTTCACGGCGCCGGACTCCGATAACCTCCACTCCAGCTCTGAGGACGCACACGGGACAAAGAGAAGATCAATCAAATACAATAGGATGACATTTACAGGATGTGGCTGTTTGACAGAATTGTCTGAGTAAATCTGCAACACTTCAAAGATTAAAATATGACTGAAAGAATGTCATTTTTCTTCAAAGGACTAAACATTTTTAGAATAAAATGCAAAACATTAAACAGCAATAACCGTGTAAACCAATCAGAATCAGAAAACTTTAGTCATCACAGGGGAAATTTGGGTTTGTGACAATTTTTCACAATTTCTCAAGGTCCCATGTCATGGCCATTTCTACTGATCATAATTCCATTGTTGAGGTCTACTAGAATACATTTATATTGTTCAATGTTCCAAACTCACATTGGTTTCTCATACAGCATCTCTGTATAGTATGTGTATTCACTCTCTGTCCTAAACGGCTTGTTGGAGCTCCGCCCCCCCCCTCCCTGTGAGCCCAGTGGACGTCTGCGAGACAGCGAGACACAGCGAAACCCAGCCCGAACACACACACACACCCGCAGCCTGGCTGGGAGTTTGTGTGTGTGCTCACACACCAACTCACAGTGTGTGTGTGTGTTTGTGTGAGTAACAGCTACGCGGACGTAACGTAATTGGTCCATTTGGAACAATCCGTGGGGCCGTTATGTCACTTGGTTCCCGGAAGAAAAAAAATCCCCAACGAGGCGTTCTGGGACAGCATAGACAGGTCTTCTCTGTGTTAGAGTTTTACTCCCTACAGGGTGTACTTTGAGGGTTTGTGACTCTGCAGACCGTTTACATGCAGAAACACCTTCATAACACA